CGCCTCACACTCACCGACCACCTGAACTGGGCACCCTTCTGGGTCAATCTGGTCATCGGGGCTACAATAGATGAAAACCCCTCCACGAACCGACGATAGTAGCCTGCCAACCCCAAGAAACTCCGAATCTCTGTAGCTGATGCTGGTCTAGGCCAGTTCTTCACTGCCTCAATCTTCTTCGTATCAACCTGAATACCTCTGCTGACACCACATGACCCAGAAATGCAACTGAACTCAACCAGAACTCACACTTCGAGAACTTAGCATACAACTGACTATCCCTTAGAGTCTGAAGAACCACTCTAAGGTGCTGCTCGTGCTCCTCCTGGCTGCGGATATATCAATATATCATCAATGAAGACTATCACGAACGAATCCAAATAAGGCCTGAACACTCGGTTCATCAAATCCATGAAAGCTGCTGGGGCATTTGTCAACCCGAATGACATAACCAAGAACTCATAATGCCCGTATCGAGTGCGGAAAGCTGTCTTAGGGACATCGGATGCCCTAACCCTCAACTGATGGTAGCCAGATCGCAAGTCAATCTTTGGAAATACCTTGGCACCCTGAAGCTGATCGAACAAATCATCAATCCTCGGCAACGGATACTTATTCTTGATTGTAACCTTGTTCAATACACATTCTCATTAACCCATCCTTCTTTTTAAAAAACAACACCGGCGCACCCCAAGGCGAAACACTGGGCCTAATGAAGCCCTTCTCAAGCAAGTCTTGTAATTGCTCCTTCAACTCTTTCAACTCAGGCGGCGCCATACGATACCGCGGGATAGAAATTGGCTGAGTGCCCGGAGCCAAATCAATGCAGAAATCAATATCCCTGTCGGGCAGCATACCCGGCAGGTCTGAAGGGAAAACATCAGGAAACTCACGAACAACGGGCACTGAATCAATAGAAGGGACCTCAGCACTAGAATCACGAACATATGCCAAATAGGCCAAACACCCCTTCTCGACCATACGCCGAGCCTTCACATACGATATAACATTGCGGATATAATGACCAGGAGTCCCTCTCCACTTTAAACGAGGCATACCCGGTAAAGCTAAGGTCACAGTCTTGGCATGACAGTCCAAGATAGCGTGATAGGGTGATAACCAGTCCATCCCCAATATAATATCGAAGTCAACCATGTCTAAGAGCAACAAATCTACACGAGTCTCAAGACCCCCAATCACCACAATACAAGAACGATGGACTCGATCGACCATAATAGAATCACCCACCGGTGTAGACACATAAACAGCAATACTCAATGCATCACTAGGCATGACCAAGTACGGGGCAAAATAAGATGATACATACGAATACGTAGACCCCGGATCAAATAACACTGAAGCACCTCTATCACAACCAGAACTGTACCTGTAATAACTACATCTGAAGCCTCAGCCTCGGGCCTGACCTGAAGAGCATAACATCGGGGCTGGGCCCCACCATCCTGAACCACATCTGTAGGATGGCCTGCTGCTGGCTGGCCTCCACCTCTAGCGGCCTGAGCTCCACCTCTAGGACCTCTACCTCCACCTCTAGCACCTCTATCTCCACCCCTAGCTGGCTGGGCGGGCTGTGGAACATCTGGTGCCTGTACCATGGCATGAGAACTCTGATGCTGAGAGCCACCTGGTGCGCGAGGGCAATACCTAGCAATGTGCCTCGTGTCTCCACAAGTAAAACAAGCCCTCGGCTGCTGGGGCTGACGACACTGGAAACTCTAAAGCGGTGGTGCACTGATAGGTGCTAGTGGTGCACTGAAGGACTGCTGATCGAAATACTGCGTCTGAGGACCACGGCTACCCGAAGCACCGTGAGAAACCTGGAGTGCTGACTGAAAAGGCCTAGGAGGATGGCCTCTACCGTATGAATCCCTGCCTCCAGACGAGGCACCACTGAATCTGCCTGACTGACGGGGTCTCTTGTCTGCTCTATGACCACCCCCCTGTGATAATACCATCTCAACCCTCCGGGCCACATTGGCCGCCTCCCAGAAGGATATCTCACTCCTAGTCTCTCTAGCCATCTGGAGACGAATCGGGTGAATGAGTCCATCAATAAACCGTCTCACTCCCTCCCTCTCAGTGGGAAGTATAACCAGAGCATGGCGAGCTAAGTCAATGAACCTGGTCTCATACTGGGTGACAGTCATGGATCCCTGCTGAAGGCGCTCGAACTGCCTCCGATAGGCCTTTCGCTGAGTAATGGGGAGAAATTTCTCCAGAAATAGCTGTGTGAACTGCTCCCATGTCAAGGCTGGTGCTCCTGCTGGCCTAGCTAAGTAATAATCCCTCCACCAAGTCTTGGCGGATCCAGACAAGCGAAATGTAGCGAAATCAACCCCATTGGTCTCAACAATTCCCATGTTCCGAAGAACCTCGTGGCAACTATCTAGATAATCCTAGGGATCCTCAATAGATGCACCGCTGAATGTAGAAGTGAAGAGCTTGGTAAACCTGTCAAATCTCCACAAAGCATCGGCAGACATAGCTCCTCCATCACCAGCCTGGGCTACCACGCCCGGCTGAGCTGCTCCAACTAGCTGAACTGCTGGAGAGTCTGGGGAGCTACCTACTCCGGAGTACGGGTATTAGGAGTCTGGACTCCTCCTCCAGCCTGAGAAGTGGCTGGTGCTACAGGAAGCAAGCCTGCACGGGTGACACTCTCCATGAGGCCCACCAATCGGACCAACGCGTCCTGAAGAACTTGGGTGGCAATAAACCCCTCTGGGACATGAGATGGGCCCACCAGAACTGTTGGGGTCGGAACCCCCTCGTCAAAATCAACCTGAGGCCCCGCCACTGGTGCTGCTGCTCGGGGCTGAGCTCTGCCCCTACCTCGGCCTCTAGTACGGCCTCGGCCTCGCCCTCTACCCCTCGTGGGAGCTGTTGTTGGGGGCTCGGGCTGCTGAGCGGTAGATGAGGAAGCGCGTGTTCTCGCCATCTGCGAAAGAACAAAGTAGAAATTCAATTAGCTTTGAGAAACCAAACCGCACGACAAGAAAGAACAAATGTGAAACTTTTCCTAACTCTGTAGCCTCTGGGGGTTAAATACAGACGTCTCCGTACCGATCCCTCAGACTCTACTGACCTTGTCCGTGAATNTCTAACTTTAACCCCCCCCCCCCCATCGTTATATTCGGTATTATAGCTCATTTGAGCAATTTTCTGGACATTTCTAGAGTGAGGGAGAGGGGTCTAAGTGAGAGAAAGTTCTCCCCATCAAATTACTCCATAGAATCTTGCTAAATCCTTGAAGATAATCAAGTGAAGGCTCCTAAATCTTTATCCCAAGAGGTAAGGCTCCATCACCTCAGCTCATATTTGTATATTTAGCTATATGGGGTCCTTAGGGAAGTAATTCATGGGTATAAAAAATGAATTCCTTGCATGCATATCAAAATTTAGGGTATTTGGAAGCTAGTAAACTAAAAAGATGGCAATTGGGGGTATAGAATGATAGAAATTCCTCTCAAAGGGGGCCTAAGATCATAATGCACCTCAAGTGTTCGATATTATGCTTGAACCAAGCTAGAATCACAACCTCGTCTCTAATTTCAGGTTTAATTTGTAATTCTTGCATCATAGATCGAAGTGATAAGAATTCCGGAATTTGTAAAGAGTAAGGAAGCTATATTGAGGTATGTGGCTAAAACCCCCTTTTATTAGAAATTGAGCTCCGTTGGCATTTACGAAGGTGTGGTAAGATTTGAATTGGTTGGTGTACTGATTATTGTTTCACATTGATTGATTTGTAATTTGTATACACATATACATGAAAGATGTGCCCCAAACGTGAGTAGTGTATTATTATTGATGTTTAATGAAGTATGAAATATACAATTATGTGTTGAAATGCCTGGGCTATAATCCAAAGATCAAAACTGAGAGTTTTCATGCTAACTATGTACATGTGCTTGCAACTTGAATTACTTTCGTATGTGCCTATGATCATAACTTGCAAGGTGAATATTGAAAAGGAAAATGATGTGATAAGTGTGCCCCAAAGTGCCCATGAGTTGAATTGATACATGGAAGATAATTGATTCAAGTGAGATGATCAATAAGAAAGAAACCACGCCTAGGCAACGCGGCCTAGCCGATCGGGCCGTGATCGGACACCATGCTGCACACATGGTTGTGATGTGCTGATATTGAATTCCGGATAAGGGAAATGAAATAGTGATCGAGATATATGCCTCCAATGAGGCAACCTAGCCGGTCGGGTCATGATCGGACTCCGCTCAAGATAGCGGTGGTATCGAGAACAGTGATGAACTTATGAAAGAAATGCCCCAAACTAAGTTATGGGAATTATGTAAATGATTCTATGATTTGCATATTTGATTCACCTATGTGATTTACTTGTCATTGCTTGGTAGTTCTTTCTAGTAAAATGGTGTTTAGTTATACATACTAGTACTATTCAATGGTACTAACGCCCCTTTTGCCGGGGGCGCTACATTTTCTTAAATGAATGTAGGTGGCTCCATAGCAGATAGCGCCGATCGTGTGTAGTAGAGCATTCTCCTTCCCAAAGATCTTGGTGAGCCCCTTTCTCCTTCAAGGGGCTATATTGCACATCTTCTTATTTGGACTTTCACTTTTGAGGTATACCCGGGGCCTTGTTGCCGACGTTGTCACATTTATTTTTGTATCCTTAGAGGCTCCGTAGATATGTATGTGGGTTATACGTGAGGCATTGAATGGGAGTGTTATCCATGTTGTAAATCTAAACTTGCGTTGCCTATGAATTGTGTCTCTACGGGAACCTTGGAAACTAACTTATCTACTGTTAATATGGTGATCTAAAATGAACTAAAAATGTTGAATATAGTATCTCCCTTTGTTGAATAAACGAAAGCGTGGTCCCCTTATTCGTATTGAGTTGGGTAGATGGTGTCTGGAAAGGCTTGCTCAGTTGGGGTCACTCGATTGAGCGCCGGTCGCGCCTCTCGAGGTTGGGGCGTGACAGTTGTGAAAACAGCTTGCTGAAGTGAGAGATAGCAACTTCTGCAATTTTCTCATTCCCTTGAATCCATTGACCATGATCATCTTTAATTCTATGGAGATAAGATCTTTTCCTCTTATGTCTGATGATGCTATGAAAGTATTTGGAGTTTCTATCCCCTTCTTCCTCCCATTTGATGTTGGCTTTCTGTTTCAGAAAGGAGTCTTGCATATTCATCCACTTGATTTGTTGAGAATAGACTAAATTAAGATTGATCCTATTATTGTTGCAGTCATCTTGTTCATATTTAATCTCTAGATCCTCAACCTTCTTCTCAAGTTCTTCTGCCTTGTCGAAAATAATGCCAATACTTTCTTTAGACCATTTACTAAGACAATGAGTGAGATTCTTGAGTTTCTGATGTAGAATATACATAGCATTACCTTGTATTTGAGTTTCCCAGCATTCTTTAACAACCTGTTCAAAATCAGGTTGATCCACCCAAAAATTTAAAAATCTAAAGTATTTGATAGGAGGAGAAACATACTTGGAGCACTTATAGAGCAACACATTATGATCAGATCCTGTTCTGGGCAAGTGTCTGACAGTAGCCACTGGACAGAGAGCTGGCCATTGATCGTTATAGAAAACTCTATCTAGTCTCTGAAGAATCCTATTATCTCTCCTCCTTCCATTAGACCAAGTGTAATTGTTACCTGTATATCCAGCATCTGTCATACCACAATCTTCCATACATCTGATAAAGTCCATGCTTTTACTAAGTCTGTGAATTCTGCCACCTTTCTTCTCAATAATGTCCATAATTACATTGAAGTCACCTCCAATAGACCATGGTCCATTGATATGATTACTCATATTGTTGATAGATTTCCAAAGGCTCTTTCTTCTTCTTGTACTGATTTTTGCATAAACAATAGTAATCCAGAAAGAGTCTGCATTATACTGTGATTGACTTCCATAGTAATCTGTTGTTTTTTGTTGGTAATGACTTTGCATGTATAATCATTATTCCAGAAAATCCAGATCTTCCCATTACTATTTGCAATCGCATTTGGAAAGCCAAGTTTTCTTCTGTAGTGGATATAGAAGACTAACGCACAATTTTTTTCTTTATTACAATTTGAACCTTGATTTCATGGTCTATTTCATTTGTTTACCGTTTATGTCAACACATGATGGTATTACTCAAAGGAAGAAAAGAATGAAACTAAATGAAGCAAGTGCAGATGCAGCTAAGGATTTATGGATTCATCCAAACTCAATGGTCGAACTTTGTATATGTATTTAGAAAATTCACTTAATAAGTGTAAATAATATAGTTCGAACGAGAATATATCAAATAAATTGTGGTTAGCTTTTGAACTCGAATCCATCATATTCAAAATTTGGATCGCCTATGAAACAAAGATGTTTTGTTGATTCATTAATGGTTAGTGGGAAGAGTAGATTGGTAAGAGAGAATGTGGAGAATGCTCGTTTGCTACCAAAGCAGTCTATGCATATAGAACAACTATGGTGCATCATAGCGTGGCTGATTGCGTTTTTTATTTGATGATCATATGACCACATACTTAATTAGGTGCTAGGCTTCTCTCAATTCTTTGGTCGGTGAGATGAATAGAATATATACGGATTAGCTCATACTATTCTAAAGTTCATGTTTATCTAATTAATTTGCTACTCAAGCCATGGTCTCCTACCATCATCAGTCAGTAACTTTTGATATGTGACATTTCTTGGTCGGCCTTTGTCTTATTTATTCGGGGATATGGACAGGAATAGCCCCGCAAGGGGTTGGTTTTAGCCGAATGTCTCTAAAATTGGCCGTATTTGAAAAATAGCATCCGAATCCGCAAACAATTCTTCATGGGGTGTCACGATCCAAAATCCACTATAGATCGTAATGGCGCCTAACACCGCCGTCAGGCAAGCCAACGGTGATTGAGCCACTTAATTACTCATTTTTATTCCTTTGAAATTATAATTTCCATTTATTAAGTAGTATGAAATAGAATTTACAAGGTAAAATAATGATAATTACGTGAACTGCCATACTAAACATCCAGTAGGAACCCCCACAATCCGGTGTCACAAGTACATGAGCATTAACTAGGAAATATGATAAAATACAACATCTGTCTGGAATACAAATTAGATAGGAGAATGTAAATAACTATGATGGAGACTCTGTGTGCTGCGGACTCGTAACATGGGATGCAGCTCACCTAAGATCCCGCAATAGCTGCACCTCTGCGCCCACAAGACCACTAGACATATATGTACCTGCACAAAATGTGCAGCAAGTGTAGCTTGAGTATGTAAATCAACGCGTACCCAGTAAGTATCTAGTCTAACCTCGGAGAAGTAGTGACGAGGGGTCGGCTTCGACCCTTACTATGGGCTAACAATAAAGTACCGAAATTATAGTTAAGCATGGATTATATAATTACAGCTGAAAACTCAATAACAAGAAATAAATAAACAATTCTTTCACTAATAGTAAATCCAAAATTAATTTCCATTATTTAACAAATTAATCTCTCAAGCCAATGAAACAATATAATTATAATTGGACTCCAAGAATTATTACGCACGAATTATGCCAACGTCGTACGGCCCGATCCAACATACAAATATATAAATTGTGCATTGCCGAGGATCGAATGACACGAATTATAGATGCATCTATTAACCTGCTGAGGCGAACAGCTCGCTCCCATGAGAGTAGTGCAATTTACCTCGCTCGCGGAATATACTTGCGACGCGAGTGAACATAGATTTCTCAAAAGTTATCATAATATTCCTCAATTCTTTCCAAAAAATAAGAAATTCAAACTGAAAACTTTTATATCTTGAAATCCTCAATCTCAACTCTATCCAAGGCAAATAATAAGCATAATCAAATAACGGTATCAACAAGGCATAGTGTAAACCTTAGACTACCCGGACATAAGCATAATTTATAGCTACGTACAGAATCTCGTCACCTCGTACATATGTAGCCCCACAAATAGAAGCACATATTAATTCAATTTACCTATGGGGTTAATTCCCTCTAACAAGGTTAAAAAAGAGACTTACCTCGTCTTAAAGCGCACTTTGCGGTCATAATTTCGCTTTAAAGCTGTCACACCCCGAACCTGGGCCTGGACGTAACACGGCACTTGGTGCCTGACTACATGTGACCGAGCGAACCAACTGGATGGCTGAATCAACATCTGATATCATAACATACAGAATACGGAAGATAAACTAACACATGCTGATATACTGAAAGTCTGGATGATATAAATCAAAGTGCGGAAATACTAATACAATATTGGAACATATTTGTAGCCAACATGGCTTAACATGAAAAGTCTGAGACTCTGTCTAACTGTTACTCTAGTCTATGAAGCCTCTATTGACGTACTGAAAACACTGTATATCTGTAAACACTGAAAGATCGTAAAGTAATGATAATGCCCGAAAGAACTGGGGATCACCAAATAGCTGGTACGAGAATCCTAGCACTCTGGATCGTCAACCTGTAAATCATTACCTGCATTGTGAGATGCAGGCCCCGGGCAAGAGGGACGTCAGTACATTTGAATTGTACTGGTATGTAAAGCAACTGAAAGAAAGAATTACAAATGCTGAAACTGAAACTAAGCTGGTAACTGAGAATTGATGATTGATAACTGAAATGTTAACTATTGAAACTGAAACTGAAGTGATAATTGAAAAGATAACTGAACTGATAGCTGAAAAGATAACTGATAACTGATAACTGATAACTGATAACTGAACTGATAACTGAAAAGATAACTGATAACTGATAATTGAACTAAATAAAGGAAGTAAGGATATGAATACTCCCTCTTCTGAATGATGAACAACCTGTTTATCTGAATATTAAACTGCGACCTCAGGCCCAATAAATATATGTGCACAAACTGCGGCCTCGGGCCCAAGTATACGTATACATAACTGCGACCTCAGGTCCAAAATACATAAAGCATAAACTGCGGCCTCATGCCCAAAGATGCATAAATCATTAGCTGTGGCCTCAGGCCCAAATATAGGTATTCAACATTCAGGGATTTAAAATCAGGAACTGAGAATCATACTGCAATACATAATACTGGAATACTGAATAGGGCTAGAATGAGACATGTATTCTTGAACTGGTTATGAACACTGAACTTCAAATGTTTATGACATGCTGAGTAAGCTATACTGAGACTTAGGGACATCAAGCCCAAGTCTATATTGAATACGAACTGAGCTCACAACGTTCAGAATGAAAGTCATGAACGAGTTATGAAACTAGAGAACATAAGTTCTACAACTATTCAAGGGACTAGGCCTTAACTATATTTCTGAGGCAATTGATACGTCATAAAAGAAACGTAATGTAGGGAGAATCATTAACATTCCCAAACATAGAGAGTTAGCCTCACATACCTTAACTTCATTCTCTTGAGCATAATACAGCATTCGCCAACCCTTTCAACTTTAATCTATATCAATACAATTCAAAGGGATTCCAAATTAGCAACAATATCCATGTTTTGGTCACTTAGGCATTTTATCAAACACTTGGTGAGTATAAAGCTTCATAATCCCTATTAATGGTGTTTCTACACCCAATAACCGATTCTCTTGCTCTTGGATAAATTCTAAAGTCTCAAATGGTTATAATCAATATTATTCTTCTTCATCCATAAGGTAAACAACACCCTTAACCAATAAAGTTCCATTAAATAAATATTTTTCAATCTCTATAATAGTTGTGTATTTATATTAGGAACTTAGGGCTTCTAATCACCACACCAAGAGTCCCAATACTTAATTCTCACTCATATACCCATAATAACTTCATACATGTAAGTCTAAGGGTGTAGGATTACCTTTTGGAAGAAATCTTGCAAAACCCTCCTTTGAGTTCTTGAAGGAATTTCTTGAAGATATATGTGTTTTATGAGTATATTTCATCAATACTAGTGTAAGAATGATGGAATTTCACACCAAGTTAGTGGAGATTGCTTACCTTGAAGATGTGAGGGGTTGGAGGTCTTGAGAGGGTGGGAGAAGACTCCAAAATTCGTCCAAAAGAAATAGGAAAAACTGAAACCTAAAATTGGCTTAATAGAGCTGGGACTGGGGCACTTCTACTCTAGCGAAGTGTCCTCGCTTTGCTGTCCATTGCATTCAAGGGAAGACAAAAATTCGCATCTACTTTGGCGAAGCGAGCTCGCTTCGCTGTCCGCCAAAATAACTGGGTGGTATGTCTTTAGTAATTTGGTCATAACTTCTTATAGGAATGTCCAAATGACGAACGATTTGAAGCGTTAGAAACTAAACTCAAAGATCTTTCGTTTGATAGGTTGTGAATCACATAATACCTTATATAAATGTAGATATGCTCGTCCAAAGTATAGTGTTGTGCGTGCTCATTTAGAATTTTAGTCTATCATGTAATTTTCCAACTTGGCTTAGACTTAGGTCTTTCCTTGGACCCCAAATCACTTATGATATGTCTCATACGCTTATTATCATAACCAATTGATAACCATCACATTAATACTCATTTAGTGCATCCACAACTGATTCAAATTTACGGGATGTTACATTATCTCTCCCTTGGGATCATTCGTCCTCGAATGTTTGTCCTGGCTGCATCTTCGGCTAATTCCGGACCTTAAATGGGTCTGGTGGGAACATGAACTTTCATTAACACTTGCATAATAAACTGAATGAATACATGATTACTGAACTGTTGAGATACTGAACTGAATGACTACTGCATTGACTGAATATTGGTCTGTCATGGATACGTGAATACTGAACTAACATGGGTAAATGAATATTGAACTGGCACGAATATTTGAGTAATCTGAGTACTAAGCTGGCATGAATGTCTAAGTATTGGACTAACATGAGTAGCTGAGTATTGAGCTGACATGAGTATCTGAGTACTGAACTGACATGAGTATCTGAGTACTGGACTGACA